TACAATAAGTACTATTTCTTTTTTATTTATATATTTAATTCTTTTTTATTAATTAAAGCTAATTACTTCTTTTTATTAAGAAACTTTTTTAAATTTATTAGAAATCTTTTGAGTAATAAGGTTTTAAAGTAGGTCTAGTGATTTTAATATAGTAGTTAAGTTGTCAAACTGCCATATAAGAGGTCTGAGTTCAAATCTCACTGTAGATAAATTTGAATAATTACTTGAACCTTTATACTCAATTTATAATAAACTCTTTTGTTTCTGGGGGTTACAACTCTATAAATCATATTGTACTAATATTAATCAGATATTAGAAATATGATATAATATTCAAGTTATGTTATACAAATAAATCTTAATAGGATCTATAGGCAGAGGACCTGTATAGTAAAAATCTCAAATTTAGTAAAGTAGTATAGATTTTAATATTATTCTAGTTAATGCTTGATCTAGTAAAGAAATCTATATACAAAAAATACAGATTGAGTAGATACAAGTAAGTTTACTATGTAATATAGCCTAGTGCCTTGCATTAATAATAATATCAACTTGGCTTAGTAGCTAATTAAATTAAGAGAATTTATCTTATAAAATATCTAGTTAAAATTTCAAGAAACTAATCTGGTAAAGAGCTATAGTAGGAACTAGGTTTATACAAGTATTGACAAGGATATAATTCAAATAAATCTGTGAAATAAATATATTACTACTCAGATAGGATTTACTTCTAAAGTTAACTAGAGCTCTGCATACTTACAATATATTGAGCAAATATATATTATAAAAGAATCTAAATCATACAATAAATAGATCTATGAATAAGTCAGCTAGCTTAAGTGATCAGATGTAGTAGTAATATTAATTTAAATAGAGTGAAGAATTAATGATTAGAGTATTTAAATAGATAATTCATAGATAGGTTGCAAGTATAACAGTATAGTATAAAACTAACAGATAGTTAATCATCTGTATGGTGAACTACTTAAATTAGACAATAACTAAAGTTGTATATATAGCTTGTTATATACTTATTATATAATTATAAAACCTTAAGAGATTACTATTTCAGTAACTCTGCAATAACAAATTAATAAAATCTAATTAGCTAAAAAAGTAGCCTTAATAATAAAAAAATAAATAAAGCTTTAAAGTTTAACTTTAAAAATTTTTACTATAAAATTTTTTCTTCTAAAATTTATAAATTTTATATATTTTCAAAGCTAAAAAAATTTTTTACTTCAAAAATAAGTCTAAATTCTTTAAATAAATTATAAAAGTTGTAATCTTTTAAAAGTTCTATTAAATTGCTTTAAAAATTATATTTCTAAAACTTAAATTAAAGAAGTTTGTTTAAAAATATTAATCAAATTTTTGAGTAAAAAATTTTTTTTAAAATTGTCTATTTTTAGCTTATAAATAATACAAACTTTTTGTCTTATAATATAAAAATAAGAAAATTACTTAATTTACACTAAGTGTTTGTACACTGGTATTATTTTTAATTGTAAACTAATTTTTATAAACCCTAATTAAGATTAGGGTTAGGGTGAAGCCTGGGATTTTATCTAGGCATTAGATATATCGATATGCAAAATTTAGCAAGGAATTTTTTTTATTTGAGCCCCAAAAACAGTTTCATATGAGATATTGATTATATGTGTATGCGTACACTAGTGTACAAATAGAAATTTTCTTTTAATAAATATAGTAACAATAGTTTAAGTTAAAAACATTTATAAATATATTTTTACAATGTAAAAATATTATTAGAATTATTAATTTACGAATCGAAACTTAAAAGAAATTTTTGAAAATCAAGAGTAATTCCTCACAACATCATCTACGGCTTTTGCAAAATATTCTACATTTTTAGAAGATAAACCTGCCATAGAGATACGACCGTTATCAGTCAAATACACATGATATTTTTCTTTAATAACTTTAACTTGTTGGGCTAACGAATAAATTTTATTAGAGGGTATGAATATTGATTATATAAAGATTGAATTAATTTAATGAATGAAAATAAAAATAAAAATAAATTTATCGAATACTTACGTTTAAGTCCAGTAAATGAGAACATGCCAATCTGATCAACAATATGATTCCAAGTTCCAGGAGTATCAAGTTCTATGAGATTATCATAAAGACGACGACGCATTTCTTGAATACGGAAACTCATAGTTTTAAGATTTTCAACCCTAAATATAAGATACAAGAGATTATAGTACTTAATTGACATAACTAAGGATAATTTAATTTATTAATGTTAAAATGAAAATAATTACCATTCTTCATAGAGAGGAGGATTGTTCAGTACCAAACTAACAATGCGAGCCCCATGTGCAGGAGGATTAGAGATTTCGGCACGTTGAAGTTTTGCAAGTTGACTTTCTACTTTAAGGACAGTTTCAGAGTCTCTGAGAACAAAAGTCAAACACCCAGCACGTTGACCTAATAATTATAGAAAACTAAAATTAAAATTCGAAGAAAGGCCTAATTACAAAAAAAATATATATATAGTAAATACAAACCATATAAACCAAAATTTTTTGCATAAGATTGACATATAAGTAATTCGAAGCCGCGCTCAACGAAATGACGTACGGCCCAAGCGTCACGATCTAAATCACCACTAGCAAAACCTTGATAAGCACAGTCAAAAAAGGGAAAGTGGCGTTTTTTCTGAGAATTGTATATATAAAAGTTTAATAAGGTAAGAATATTTATAGCTTAAGCATGAAAAACTTGAATTATTTAAATGACATACCTCCATAACGTCAGCAATTGCTTTCCACTGTTCTTGAGTTGGATCTACACCAGTTGGATTATGGGCGCAGGCGTGTAATAGAATAATGGAACCTTCAGGAGCATTCTGAGAAAAAGAAATAGAAGATTAAATATTAAGTCCTATAAGTATATAACTAAGCCAACTTAATTCATACATTTAGAGATTCAAGCATTCGATCAATATTCAATCCAATTGTCTCTGGATCGTAATAAACATAGTCTCTGACTTCTAAACCAACGTTGTTAAATATAGCCTTATGATTTGCTGATAGAAAATAAAAAGTATCAATAAATGTCTAAAATTTTCAATAATTTTCAACAATTTGAATAAAATATAAACATGTTTATATTACCCCATGTTGGATTGGATAAGTAAACTATGCTACCCTTTCGATAAAACCGAGATAAAAAGAGAGCACCAAGATGATTTGCACCTGTACCAGATATGGTTTGAGCGGTTGCAACCTTTTTGAAGATTTTATAAAAATTTGGGGTTACAACATAAAAGAAATTTCATAATTGAATGAAATCCTCACCCGTTTCTCTTTAATGGCGGGATTATTAGCACCAAGAATCAATTTCATTGATGCTTCTCTGAAAGGAGCAAGTCCCGTAATAGGGAGGTATTCGTGATCAATTTCAGGATCATTTATAATTTCTCGTTCGGCCTAAATTAAGTAATTTTAAATTTTTCATTATTTCGAAATAGTTGAAATTTTTGTAGAATAATTAGTAACATTCTAATAAATTCATACTTTTTTTACAACAGGCAACACCCAAGGTTTTCCGTTATCGTCCCTATATGCACCAACACCTAGGTTAACTTTTTGTGCAAAGGTGTCTGCCTTGTATGTGGCGGTTAAATTGAAAATAACGTCCGGAGGAGCACGAGGAACGTCTTGGAAAATTGATTGAATCGCTACAAAAAATATATACAAAGTCACATTTTGAATTTTTAATTATAAAAACTAGCAAAACTAATAAGAACTTTAAAAAAACATAATTACCAGCCATTGAAGATATATATTTTTCAATTTGGTTTAGACGTTTAGAAGACATGAGCAAAGAGATTCGATTTATATAAAAAAATTATCTAGATTCTATCCTTGATAACGATAACGATAAACAATATGTAATACTCTTTTAGTAAAATAGTTTAATTTTAATTCCAAATATTGATTAATTTTTGTTATCAGATCTTTTTAGGGGATCGTTAAAGCGGGGTAAACGCACTTATTTAATTAAAATCAGGGTTAGGGTTAGGTTAGAGTTGAGGTAAGGGTGATATTATATGTAAAATTGCCTCCCCGACATTTTTTACTAGTACTCAAAAGTAGGTTTAAACATCCATTTTCTCGTATTATTCATATTTATACTTTTTTTTTGCCTTTTTTTTTCCGTTAGAAATTCGTAATATGATTGGCTAATGCATGTCGATCACTATATGATCCCTCTTTTTAGATCTTGCTATAATACTGTAATAAAGGAAATGATTTACTTAGTTCGAGAATAAAAAAAAAAATCATGTATGTAAATCCTCCACAAATTTTCCAATATCATCCTCAATTTGATAATATTAAAGGATTATGGCTTACAAGTCATTCTAGCTGTTGTCATAGATTTAATTTTTAATTATCGTACAGTATAGGATTAATAGTTACACGTATACAAATAATCTCATCTTTTTATTATCATTTGCAGTCAAAGTTTCTTTTTTTGAACTATAAACAACATGCTATCTACGTAATACGGTCAAATATTCGGTACGACTTCATTTAATCCAAGCATTGTTGATAACAAGTAAATATTATTTTTTTCATTTTACTAGAAAAGTATAACAAATACCACTCGCATTTTCTATCGGGCCCATAAGGCAAACCACATTTATACTTACCCATTAACTACCCTTTTAGAAATTAATAATAATTAATATTAAAGCTTTACATTGAACATTTATTTGATTGTCATTTTCTGTTTATTATTATATCAATAAATAGTAATATATTTTCTTCTAAACAAAGTGACGATGATTTTTTTTGTTTAAAATAATAATATCTAAATAATTGAATAAATTAACTTAGAGAGGTTAAAGCTTCTACAAATTCAAGTAGTAATAAGCAACTATCATATGTATTAATTAGGGAATTTCTATTTTCACCCGGGTTAAAGTCACCCGAAATATTAAATTTTCATTTACTTTAGGGTTAGGATGAGGCCTGGGATTTTATCTTAGGCATTAGTATATGCAAAATTTTACAATGAATTTTTTTGTTAATACTATAAATTTTAGTCACGCGAACGTTATTATAATATATCGGGTGACTTTAACCCGGGTGAAAATAGAATTTCCCTAATAATTATATTTATTAATCGAAAATTATTTCAGACCACTGGTGTTCAACACCAGTATAACAATATAGGGTTAGAATCGGATTAAGATTAGGGCATGGTGTAGTTTATACCAAAATTTTGCAATGAATTTTTTATAATACTAAAGGTGGTTTTATTATTACATAGAATTTTATACTACGTATAGATAATTTTTTAAAAATCGTGTGTTACACCTGATTATATACTTGTATATAAAGATTATCTTATACAATACTTAAATTGATATAATACAAATTTATCTTAAATAAAATAATATTTTTTTTTTTTTTTTTTTTTATATAATATGTAATCAGCCAGATTTTTATTGGTATAGATAATGAGAAATGATTACATATGTAAAAGTACAACTAGTCACATGTACAACTTTAGATTGTCTAATTTAAATAGTTTGCTTAAAGGTTTTACACTAGCTACTATATCTGAAATTTATTT